TATAATATACAATATGAAAAGGTAAATAACAAATTCGTATAGAATTTATTGCTAATAATAATCAAAAATAACGCGTTCTCGGTCGTGGACTGGATGAATATTTTATCTACAAAACATTAATTTTTTGTCTTAATGTCTATGTATGTATATGGAAGGTTCTCCGACTAAAATTATTTTTCTTTGGTATTTTTTTGGTGAAAAAGTATATTCTGAAACACATTTGGAATTGTCACACGAGCCAAAGGCGAGTTTGACAGCTTCACGAGAGCGGCATATTCATATGCCGTCATATGCCGTCATATTGCGGCATATTCATATGCCGTCATATGCCGTCATATGCCGTCATATTTAACCAATTAGTGCACTAGTTTAATACAACAAACTAAATGGAAAAATATTAAAAAGGAAAACTGGGCATGCCATTACCACATATTTTTACTGGTGCCGTATGTTAATGAAATTATAAATGTCAGTTGTAAACTGTATTAAAGCTGGATAAATAAAATAAAAATTATCCAAAGGTTTAATTAAGTATATACTGTTTTTTATGTTTAATCTACTAATACCTATACTGTATAGCTTTAAAGTAATTTAAACATAGTTGTTAGTAGTGTAAAAAAATATTTTTATGTTAAAAAACTTTTACGCCCACATCGCATCGCATCGGTGGAAAGAATCAATTTCTGCAAACTGTTTACGTATGAAATATTTTGTATAGATAATATTACTATGACTACAATCACGGTTGGGATTTAAAGGATTTTTTTATTGATACTGATTTTGCTTGCAGTAAAAAAAATTCTACAAGTCAAAAATTTTGGGACCTGAATTTTTTAAAAAGCTTGCACCCCTGGTCTATAGATCCTAAAGACCCCCCCTAAATCTATACAAAAATAGTGTAACCGTTAGAGTGGAAATCTGTATTACCGGCGCGTCTGTGAAAATGTCAAATTTGTATGTGTAAATCGACATGGACTAACAACAGTTTTTACAATAAAAGAAAAGAAAATATTTTATAGGCACTCCACGGTGGAGTCTTTACCCGAAATTAAATTAAATCTAGTTTACTGCCAGCGAAATTAAATGGTCAGTATGTTCATATAAACTTTTTAAATATTGGCGTTGAGAAATTATGTAATACTTATGTATTTTTGTATTGATATAAAAAAATAATGTTTACATTAAGCATTATTTTAGAAGATGGGCACTTTATTTTAACGATTGTATGACTTTTGAAAACTGTCAACTAAATTAAAACTCAATTAACTTTATCCCGTGACTAAAAAGCCATAAGCCACAACTTGTTAATGTGTATTTAAAAGGTCTTTTAGTGTCATGAAAACATGAACTAGTTTCTAGTTTAAAAGTCAAATTACTATAAACCTCTTTACAAAAATGAAGCCTCAATGTTATCATGCCAGTTAAAAAAATAATTAATAAAATACGGCGGCGAAAGCTTATTATTTGTCTCGCACACAATCTAAATGTATGATCGGCTATAATGTGAGCTTTCCCGGCCTGGTCTATATGGTACTTTTTATATATTTTTTGCCAAATCATGGCAGTTAATTGTATATAAATAGAAGATAATTGTTTAACAACTACTTGATAGAATTTTATTATTTTGGTATCATATAAGAAGTGTTAATAAAATACATCATTAATGATTTACGGACATAAATTAGTTAGAAAATCATATTAAAATAGAATAAAATCTGGATAATTAAATTATTTTTAGGTTAAAAGAGATACCTATACCAAATAAAATATTTCTTCAGGCAGGTTTTATGTATGGTTAATTATTTTTGTATTATTTACTTTTATGCGCAAATAAATTTTGAGGGTATAAGAAACTATAGGTACTCCTTAAATTTTTAATAATATCCAGTAAACAATGACGAAGTTATCAACTATTATGCGCAGTAATAATTTTGAAGCTCAGGTGTACAAAAATATGAAAATCGATGGTAGCAACGTATAAAATTTATACTATAAATATTCCTCGAGTTTGAAATTTTTGGTTTTAATCTTTTAGTATAGATGCTATTTTTATAATTTGGGCTAGTGCGGGTGAACTTTTGTATAAAGTGTTTTTGTGAATTACCATGGTAATTCATAATTATGCATAATACATATTTTTAAAAAACTAATTATGTTTTTATAAAGTGAAAACGAAATAAAAAGTATATTTAGAAAAAATATATTTCATTTACTTTTAGAATAATAATATTTAATTATATATTTAAACTCATTATTTAATTTCATTAAAAAATATTATAATAATAATACACTGTGTTTCGTTAAAAAAATTGTTTAGGCAATCGCTTTATTTTTAATAAAAATGGTCAAATAGTTGAAAAAACTAAGCCACTCTCCAAATTTATTATTAGCAATATTGCTTTTATAAAAATATTTTTCAAGAAATATTTCCTACATAAAAACTACCTTTTTTATCACTAAATGCAAAATACGCGTGTAAATCGACAAAAACACACAATCCAACATTTATAAATTCAGGGATGCTCTTTAAAATTTGAAAAAATAGCGCTTAATAAGCTTATAAAAGATTTACAATCAATTATTTTTTTAAATTTTATTACTTTAATTAGGGACACCCTGTTTGTTTTTAATAATAAATAAACATAAAAATGTATAAATTTTATTGTCTACTCTATATTTTCAATAAAAAAAGACTAAGGATGAGTTTCACGAAATAAGAATTCACTTGATTGTTACAAGAAAATATTTTAAGGCTTTTAGTTAGATATACCTTGTAAAAAAGATTTCCCATAGGAAACTATAGGAACTATAGTTTATTTTATACTTAAAACTTATTTTTTTTTAAATATACCTATACAGTGTGTGTTTTAAGGCCTGCTAAGACCTGAGTCAAAATTTACAGGGCAATTTTTTTCGAAAAATGTATAGCGCACCTCAAAAACGATGAAATCGTTCCAAAATAATGGGGTTGCGGTCTTAAATATCACTATACAGGGTTTGTAGAAAATAAGCAATTACTTTAAAAACTTGTTCTTATTGTAATGTATAAGCGCTGTTACAGTAGATAATGCTCCCTCATAAAAAAAGGAGTGGTTAATGCATAGGCAAACCACCACTTTGTTTAGGAATATGTTTCAAAGGTTGGCATTCATAGCGTTTTTGCATTTTTGTCAGTTTTGCCAAAGCAGCACAGAAATATTATTATATATTATATGTGTTTGTTTTTAGATAGATTTTTTGCAACTGTTAGATAGATTACACTGTAGGGAGGTGAAAATATCACAGCTATACGCTCGGACACGTAAACTTAATTTTTGGTCGTAGATTACAAATCCGTGCTTGGTTTAGCTGTATCAGGTCAAAATTCAAAGATATTGGAAACACCCTGTATAAATTTAAACACCCTGTATAATTTTTTTTAATTAAATTTGGCGGGACCCACACATCAGTTCCAAATTAAAAAAATAACAAATTCTTGCAAAATTTGAAATTAAATGATCAAAAGATACACGTATCCCTAAAAGTTTTTCTTAGATAATTTAGGAAATTTGAAATGATTTTTATTGAGTATAATTAAGGATATTATATTAAATTAAATAAAAAGCATATAACTGTTGGCCCAAGAGGTGAATTATATTATTTTACAAATTATAATATACCAGTGTGTCCCCGGATCGGATTTCGAATAAGAAAAACTTTTTTAGACCTGATACAGCTAAACCGAGCACGGATTTGGAATCTACGACCAAAAATTATGTTTACGTGTTCGAGCGTTTAGCTGTGATATTTCAAAAGTTAAAAATTTACCTACAGTGTTATTAGATATGTTAACAAATTTGTTTTGTTTTTAGATAGATTATTAGATATGTTTGTTTTTAGATTGATTTTTTTGTAACTGTTTTTTGACTGTTTGTGTTAAATATATGTTTTGTTTATTTTAGGACCCACTTTTATTTTCCATTCGTACCAAAATAGACTTTTATTTCATAGGGCATATGACGTCAGTGTCAAATTTACAATAATGTGGCTGTTAGCTGGACATGACGTTATATGACGTAAAGGTTTCATAATAAAAATTTATTTCATCCTGTACAGAATAAAAAGTGTTTACATATAATAAGCTTCAAAAGACCTTCCAAAATGATGACATATGACCCACTTTGTATTTGTGACGTTTTGGTAGTACAACACAATTTGTTTTTTTTTTAATCCATACATATTAAAGTCTTAACTATTTTTAAGTTTAAATAACTATATATCCAAAAAATATTTATATATGTCAAAAAATGGAATTTATTGTCCAGTTTCACATCCTACAAATTCCTCTGGTTTAAAAACTTTTATACACAGGGTGCTCCAAGTATCCTTCTGTGTGTGAGTAATTTTTTATTTAAAAAAAGTCGGTTAAATTAGACAAGTTGCTTAATCACAATGGAATTTTAAAATTGAAAAAAGGGGTTTTTAAATAATTTGAAAAAAATTTAAAACCTGTCATAACCAAAAATTGTTATGTATTCGTTATTCTTGGGAATTTTGAAAAAAAAGCAAGTTTACGTGTAAAAATACAATTTTTTCTACAATTTCATCCAAATTGCATGATCCAATTTGTGATTTTTTTCGCCTACTAGATTTTGAGTTACCACACTCATTTTTGGTTTTTCCTATGGCCGCCATAAAATCAAAAGATGGTGATGGTAGCTCATAATATAGAAGCAAAGAAAGTGGATAAAAACAAAACTTTCAAACATAGTTGCATGTTTTTCTAAATTCTCAGGAGTAATGAAGTTTTAACGATTTTTGGTTTTGAAAGGTTTTTAGTTTTTAAACTATTTTAAGATTCGATGGCTTTTTTTTCAATTTATAATTAAAGTAAACAAGTTTTCCCTAATTTAACTGATAAAATGCCCATAGAAATACTTATCAGTGTTTAAGTGCTTAAAAGTCCGATCTTTATTATATAACAATACATTTTGTTAAATAAATAAACAAGAGTTGTTTGTATTTGTTATTTTATTAAGTATTTTTATTTAAATTAAAGAAACATGGTCGGGTGTATTTTGGTAATAACACTTCAAAACAGAATAGGACGTTTCTTCCGGCGTAGAATCAGGCTTGGCGCACAATTCCACCATTTTCTTGGCGATTTCCTGGTCGTTAAGAAGAGCAGACAGTTTTGCCATCATAACGTCCTTCTGGATTTCTCCGGCTTCGTTTTGTAAACCGATCTTCTTTGACACGCAGAAAAGATGGGCCTTTATTTTTGGATCGTTTGCGTATTTCCCGGCCTTTGCGTCGTCAATAACGATTTGTTCTACTCCTGAGGATTCCTTGCATTCCCTGTGAAATTCCAACAGTTTTTCTTTCTGAGCGTCGGTCAGAGTTGCGCCCTAAAATATGTTTTATGTGTTGAAATAATTGCTTTTTGCTTATTGGTGAGAAAATATTATATTGAAAAAGAAAAATATACTGTACACTGTACACTGTACACAGGGTGTACCAAGTATCCTTCTATATCTATGAGTATCATTTATATTTTTTTTAAAGTTTATTACAACAACATTTAATAATTGAAAAAAAATATCCTGTTTTTAATTGATTAAAAAAAACTGATAACATGTTAAAATCAAAAAAAATTATAACTTCGTTGTTCTTAAAACTTTTTATAGTTTCACATGTAAACATATACATTAGGGTGGGCCGAAAATCCGCTTTTTTAGAATTTCGTTTAGTAATAGCAAAAATTTTGTTCATTACGTTGTAAAAAAATTTTGTGTAAAAGATTAAAATTTTCGATCAACATCCTAGGCTCGCCCAACCCAATTAAAGATCAAAATGTTCAAAACAATTTGTTCTTAACTTATTTCGATCGGAAATTTTATGCTCTACAAAAAAGGTCCTTACACAAAATAACTTCAGATAGATAGTTTCAGAAATTTGTTCATTCCCAATTAGCAAATATAGTTCCCAGTCCTTTTTAAATGTCACTGCCCCTAAAGTATAGTTCCTAGACCCACCCTGCCACTTAAAATGTTACTCTATAAGGTATAGTCACTTTGAAGTATATTTCGATAGTGACTGGTTAGTGCCTACCTACCATAAAAGTGGAAAATAAACACCCTGATTGCAAGTGGCAAACATGTAATTTAAAGAAGTGGCTGGAACTACCCGATTTTTCAAATATGACACCATAAAAGACCAAAAACTTTATAGTAACTTTTTAAAGTATCAGTCACTAACAAGTGCTACCATAATGCCTCCATTAAGTTTTTGTTACTTTATAGTAACAATTTAAGTAACGGGGTAGTCGCGGCCACGACACCTGGTTTCTTATAATTTATAGTAGCATTGAAAGTAGCAAAATGGTTACTGCTACCTTCCTAGGTCACTATAAAGTAGCCGGGGTTTATCCATTGCCACTAAAAAGTCGCGGGGATCAAAAATGGCTACTTTATAGTGACCATAACTTAATATACCCTAATAAATGTAATTGCCTCAGATTGCATATTGCATAGTGTGCTGCTGTTTTGGTGTTTTCTTTTACTTGCTTTTAAGCTTTATTAAAATTCTGTAAAATGCCTAAGGTAAATAAAAAGAAATTAAGATATTCTAGTACTTTTTATCAAAAATTAAACAAAAGGAATCACTTCGAGCCGAAGCATCAACGTCAAAAACAAAAACTACATCTTTCTATAATCCTACTGATGAACATCATAAATCAGGTAGTGACTGTGGCAATTTTGAAGCTGTTTCTGTAGATGAGTGTAACTGAATCTCAGAGGAGAACTAAAATATTGGCCGGATTCAAGTTTAATGGACCTGAATATGGTTCTATTCAAGATTTGACCTTTTATATTCGCAGATTATGTGTTCGAATACTTTGCTGCTCTTATACTTTGTAGATGTTTTTACATTTATAGTCATTGAATATTTTGTGATGAATAGAATAGGTAATTCAAGTTGCTGAACAGTCTTCAAGTTTCTCAATCCCTCTCTGATTTCTATACCTGAGTCAAGTGTTCAAATCTCGTGCTGATCGAGGTGCTGATGAAAATTATTTATTCTATCTTACGTTTTCACCTTCATAGTCTTTTGTGATGTATAGGAAATTCAAGGTGCTGAATATTCTCAATGGGTCAAGTTTCTCAAAACTTTCCTTAAGTATTTGCAGACAGTTGATGTATGTTTTCATTTCTACACGTGAGTCAAGCGTTGAAATCTTGTGCTGATGAATGCTATTCATTCTGCCTTACGTGTAGGTATTTGGGCTATGTAAAAATGAATATTGTATGCTCCATAGAGTATACTTAAGTCGTGGATTCAAATTCGAAGAAGCTTCCACTAGTGGAAGAGAACGTTTTAAGATAGATAAAACGACAAGAGAAGAAAGTGACGTCATATACGGTGTGGGCCCTGTTTTTGTTTAATAAATTTGTTGAAAATATTGTGATATTATAAAGATTTATTAATTTTTAAACATACGCGGTTAACATTTAAATATGATTTCTTTCGTTGACTATATTGAAATGCCTTAAATGTCAAATGAGTCGAGGATTCAAATTTAAATATTAAGTGGAAGAGATTCAAGAGGGTAATTAATAAACCTAGAAAAAACGACACGAGACGGAAGTGACGTCATATACGGTGTGGGTCCTGTTTTTTATAATAATTAATTTTGATAAAAATAAATGAATAATTGTCATGTGACCATAAGAATTGCAATAACCAGTAAAACATTAGGTATAATAATATATTCACTTTGCATTTTCCAAAAAATACGATCGTCGCGTCGCCAAACGGGAACTTCAAAGGACAAGGCGAAACGTTATAGTGGCACGCCGCGATCGGTGTAGCATAAACGCTCCAATAAGGGGCAATTTAGTGGCGCAGGGAACTTTCTTGGAAAATCTCTTTATAGTTCCAAAGAATCGTGGACCATGTAGTTCCAAAAAAGTTATTGTTTCCATAAAGTCGCCTCTGGGTAGTTACACTTGTCACTTTATCAAGCCGAAGATTTTAAAGTTCCAAACGGGTAGGGTTGGCCTAATATATTATTGTTCCCGGTACTTTGTGGAAGCATATGGAACCATAAAGTATTTTTTGGATTAAACGGCCATATTTTTTTCATGACTTTTCAGACGAACAGCCAAATGGCTCAAACATTTTACGTTTTCAAGCTAAATATACCTAAACTAAAGCTTTTTTCTTTAGTTATTTTGTTATATTTGACGGTGGACTAATATTTTAAAGTTTCACGACAGTTTCAAGAAAATTAATTTTTTTTTTAATTAATACCTGAGTTTCTATTTCAAATAATATAATAATTTGAAATGTTTTGAGAGGCGCTCGAAAATGTTGTCATATAAACCCAATATTTTATTCAGTAAAGTCGATTGCGTTTTAAAATTTACCTACCAAAGGCGTTAAAATCGCATGGTAAATAACAAAAAAATAATAATGGCTTCCATAATTACTTTCCATCATGACATTTATTTAAGGAAGTGTGAAATTACATGAAGAGGTCGCTGCGAATAAAGTTTAATAGTTTAAAGAAAGGTCTACCTGTCGGAGGAAAACACTAGGCTGCCACGAACCCGCGACTAGGCAGCTTCGTAACAGATAAGTCGCATTCACCAGTAGGCTACTTTATAGTAACACATCGTAGTAACTCTTTTAGTGGCAACAACTACCCAAGACACTACCCGGCTACTCAAAATCTTTCCCCATTTTGGTCGCAGTTACTTAGCAGCTACGAATATACAACGTAGCCGCCGATGGTCACCGCCCCCTTTGTAGTGGCTTTGATAGTAGCAGTTACGTATCTGCCACCATAAATGCTAGTTGGGTTATGTTGTAAACAAATTTTGTGTAAAAGATTAAAATTTTCGATCAACATCCTAGGCTCGCCCAACGCAATTAAAGATCAAAATGTTCAAAACAATTTGTTCTTAACTTATTTCGATCGGAAATTTTATGCTCTTCAAAAAAGGTCATTACACAAAATTACTTCAGATGGATAGTTTCAGAAATAAACCCGATTTTAGTATCAAAATTTTTTTGAACATTTTGATCTTTAATTGCGTTGGGCGAGCCTAGGATGTTGATCGAAAATTTTAATCTTTTACAGAAATTTTTTTTACAACATAATGAACAAAATTTTTGCTATTACTAAACGAAATTCTAAAAAAGCGGATTTTCGGCCCACCCTAATATACATTTATCTTCATTTATATCCAAGTCCTTTGTTTTTAATTCCCAGGAATACCAAAATTATAAAGACTTTTAGTTTCTTTAAATATATTTAAAACCTCTGTTTTTTTTTCTAATTTGTAAATTTTATATTAATATGGCCGTAGCAACTTTAATTTAATTAACTCTTTAATTTTACAAACCTTGTAGTTTTTCTAATAAAAAAATACCCATAGAAGTATACACATAGAAGGATACCAAGTCATGTCATGACTGTCATGGTGTCCCTTGTAGATACGGTGGTAATGTTTTTTTTTTTAAAAATTACCTAAAAACTGTACTCGATATTGTATATTATATTTACTTTACCATTTTATATTTTGCGGAACTTTTTACAGTATTTAAGAACAATGCATTAATGAAATTACAAAGGTGGTCAATAATGTTAAGCGGTTTTAAAAACATTATAAAAAAAACTTTTAATCTTTCGCAAAACTTGTTCATATAAATAACATTATCCAGATGTAAATAATCACATTGCAAAATCTCTGCAAACCTGGACTTAAAATTTCTAAAAACTGTTTGCAAACGTTATGGTTAACATCTGGAATATGTTAGATATATGAAAAGTTTTTTTCGAATCAATCAATTTTGTTACAAAATTTTAGATGTTTACCTGTGCACTGATGACAGCAAGAGCTAGGAAAGCTAAGACGATTTTCATGTTGCTTGTTATATGTTTCCTTCTGATATCACAAAAAGACTATGCTCACTACTTTTTTATACTTTATTTATATAGTAAACGCATGGAAGATTGATTTTCAAGAGAACGGATGTGTTTCGAATTAAAAATAATGATTTTCTGTTCAAGTATACTTGTATACAAAGTTCAATTAATTTTATAATAACTGTAATTTAATCGTGTAAATAGTTTTTCACCCGAGTAATTGTGTCGTAAATAAATATTTAATTTAATGTTTATTGTTTAATGAATTGCTTTAACTTTTAATAACTTGAAACCTTTTACATATTTATCCACTTAAATGTTTTAATTTAGGAAAAAAGTAAAAATATTCGAGGGAAGCTCCAGCTATTTGATATTTCAAGATTTATATCTTGGGGCTTCAGTTTTTTAGCATTATTCTTAAAATTCGAGTTTAATGTGTTAATAATTTTTTTTCTTTTGTTACAGAAAAATCCAGATAATACAAGTGACTATCAACCTTGATCCTTAATCTGATCGAAAGAGTAAGTAGATACATATTTATTTTATGTAAAAATTGCGTTTACTAAAAAAAATGTTGTTAGTTAAATGCGTTACAAGGATTAGAGATTTAGATTTTAGTGTTATTACCTATTTGTCCAAGAAGCAATGGATCCGTTTTAAAGAAAATGATTTCAATTGATCTTAATTTTGTTTTAACTACGTTTCTTTTTTATTTTTAATGGTCACTTGCACCGTTCACTCAGTTAAATAAACTGCCAAGTTAAAAGGTAACAGGAGATTAGTGTCCAAAATCTTGCACCGTGATTTTTTCACTATGGTTTAAAATTTCTAGTGATCTAGGGAATTTGACTAAAAAATGGAAAATATTGGTGCTACTAACTAACTTCACACTTATTTGTGACGCAAATATATTTTGACGTTAAGAGTTCGATTCTTTATAATCTGTGTTTCGATTCTTTATCATCTGTGGTTCGATTCTATTTCATGTACGACCGATTCAGTTGATGTTAAGAGAGAATAATAATGGATAAGTAACAACAGGGTACTCCAGTTCATGGCATTAATATTATCAGGCAATGGCGGGTCTGGTTTATTCATGTCTCTAGCAATATTATGTAGTTCAGCTGCAGCTTTAATAATGGACAAAACTGTATCTAGTTTTAATCTTAAGCCTTATGCCAACACTGGAAATTTTCTTTTCCAAATTCCAAATACTCTATTATATTTCTGGTTCTTAGTAGTCTCATTATAGAGTTGCTGACCTCTATACATATAACTATAGTTATTGGATTTGCTAAATATGTCAATAAATAATATCTTTGGAAAAAATATGTTGAATACCGATAACTAGTAATTTTGAGGTTATAAATCGTTAATGGTGGATTAAAGTAATTCCATCCTGTAATTGGGGGTTTATTTAAACAGTAGTTTAGAGGGATTTAAACAAGGATTAATTTACGGTGCAAGCCAGTTATGAAAAATAAACCTGTGTTAAAAATTAAACAACTGTTAAACTTACGGTGCAAGAGGGCCATAAGAGAAATTGGCCTATTTTTTTTAATTTGCCAAGAACCTAAAATAGTGTGATTCTAGCTATTTCACCAAAATTTTTATTTTTAACAGAAACAAATGAAATTTTCAAATTTTACTATCATAAACTTGTTTTTTTTTGTAATATTGGGGTTGTCTTATTTGGATTGCCATGCCTATGTCGTATTTGGAATCCTATGGACTATGTAGTTATTTTTGTTGTACAGGATTGGTAATGTGGGTTGGTTGGAAGTGGTTGTCTAGTCTCGAGTGTGGGTCATAATTTGTTACACACTGTTATTAGGTACCAAATAGGTATTGATATTAGGCTGGGTAGCTCAGATGGTAAGGTTCTCGCTTAGCATGTACAGTCCATTTTTTTCCTAGAAGCGTGCAGAAAGTTGCTACTTTCCGCACGCATAACCGTGACAGTGCGGAAATTAATTGCGTTTTTTCTACAAATGAAAACTGATAAGTAAATTGCGAGATTTTCTTGCTTGTAGAAAAAAACGTGCTTAACACCAGCAGAAAGTGATTTTTACTCATGACCGGACTCCGCTACGTATTGTTCTTTTAACAACCGTCGTGTGCGGAAAAGTATCACTTTGCGCACTATTTAGGTAAATAAACTATGTATGTAAATAAAAAATTAAATAATTTTACCATATAAAAGTTGCTTTATAGTAATTATTTATAAAACAAAAAAAAACTTTACCTATTTAGGTAGGTACCTATTTTTATAAATTTTTTAACCTAAAATCCCATCTCTAATTATTGTATGCCAGACGAGAGACGCAAATCACTTGGGTGAATAATAAAAAAAAAATACTATACTTTATCTACTCCAATTAGTAGGTATTTTAATGATTTTCAAAAATAAATAAATAAAATCTGACATCTGTCAGATGGTTAACCTCACTTTATACCAGTTTTAAATATTATTTTAGTCGCCTTGTCCCAATTTTAAACCAGATTGGTTTAAATCACAGTGAATATTAAAATCTGCCAATCACTGATGCCTAACAACGTAATTATTTATGTTGTTAGGAGAAAAACCCAATATTATGCAATAGGAGTAGATAAAAATGGTTATTAGTTGTTAAATGCGTTCTAAGAAATATTAAATACTATTATAAAATTGTTATTTTTTGTTTACTTAAAAATGTTTCATTATTATTGGTATATTTTATTCAGAATTGTTGGTGCCGCACACATGTATAATTATTTTTGCTTTAGGTTAAACCCTTGATGAGATTTTTTGTACAATATTTGAAGATATTTCTAAAACACTTTTACATAGAATTTGTAATTTTCACCTTTTTAGTAGCGTTTTTAAACATGGAAAAATTAAATTTAATTAACGGAATTTTACCAACTGCTGTAAAGTTGTAAAGGTGATTTTTTAAATAACCTATAGTCGATTTATTGTAATAGAGGAAAAGGGACCTCTTGTCGACAAAAAAAATTAAGTTATTTTTTTTCCAAATACACTAAATTTTGAATATTTTGATACCAAATTACTTTTCCTACCGAGTTAGTCTTTTTTTGAACGTTTTTATGAAAACTTTCATTTGACCAAAAACTAAATTATGTAACCTTTAGCAGGTAGGAAAACTTTCAGACATGTAGATGAGGTATTAGGCATGCCAAATCGATAAAATGTAAAAAATTTCGACCCCGATTTATATTTTTGCCTCTTCTGCAATTTCAGATGAGCGACAAGAGGTTCTTTCCCTTTTTAGCATTCTTAAATATAAAAGGTAAAGTAAATAAATTTGGTTTGTACTTAGAGGTACCTTCCTAAAGAAAATGAATTTTTTGTTAATATTAATCAAGGACTATCTTTTTCTGCTCATGTAACGCCGCTAATCTATTTACTAAATTTTCTCTCGAAATTTTTTTCATAGCTTGCATTATTTAATTGTCTTTTTAACTTTATTTTACCACCTTATTAAGACTTAAAACTAATAAAAACAAAATTTTGTTAAAGTAAACGTCAACAGAACCTATTGTAGAATTTAACTTATTAACAGACCAATTTTAATATTTAATTTTGCCAGCGGCGTTCAAGAAAACAGATCAGTTTTAAGACAATGTGAAAAATAATCATATGGTATAAATGCATATTTTAGAAGATATTAAACAGAAGCCCCACAAATTATAACCTTAAACAGTTTAAAAGAAACAAAAATTGTTAAACCTATTTTATTTTTTTTATAAACTATAGACTGGTGAAATTCTGAGGATATAAATTGAATCTGTATATAAAAATCGATGAAGGTCTTAAACTGTATTATAATTAATTTTATGGAGCAACAAAAAATGTATTTGTTTATATTCACCAGTAAACATGTTTATTGCGGAAGTATCTATTAAAATTCTATTTTTATCCTTTTAAAAACATGAATTTTCCACAATACAATTAAAACTTAAAATAAACATTCAAATTTCTGCTACCTTTACTGCAGTGCGCTGAAAAATTATAACTGCAATTTCTCAAGACGAAGTCTCCTTTTATCGCTAAAACAGTTCGTTATACCCACCCGAAATGTTGTTTTAACTTTGGCAGTTACAAACTCCTTTAAATTTGTCTGCAGTGCCGTTTGTAACACAAAACATGTACCAACGATGAAATAAAATTTCGCATCATCGAAATGAGTTTCAGCAGGATCTATAGGAAGGCAGGGTAGATCCGGATATTGGCCAATATGGCATGTAATAGGAAATGAGCCAATCTTATTTCAGCACATTAACAACAGAATTCTATACTATAGGGTTTTTACCTTACAAGAAAATACTGTTGTGAGAGTCTCTGCTATTTGCCGAAAAATTTGCATTTTATATAAAAAAAATTTTCTATGCCTAGGATGCATTTAAAATATTATATTTAAAAAATATTGGGCCCATTGATGTAACTTTCTTGCTAACTGGTCCGCTAAAAATATCACCAGAAAAGAAATAAGTTTTAGTTTGCGTTTGATTACCTGACAAGCTCATACGTTTCATTTAATATAGTCTTGTTTCCCCCACTACGTGTGTTCCCCTGTTCATTTTTACAATAACAAAGCAGCCATGACTCATAAATCAATTTTAACAGATTCTAACCTCGAAATTTTAGCAAGAGCTTCAGAGCTCCCGATAACTTAGCCAGAGTTTTGAATTTAGCGCCACAATCGTGGCGTGGAAGGTTCAACCTTCAAGGTTGGTACCGGCATGTTTATAACCTATAAATTTTCGTGAAACGTTTATCTTTGGTTTGTAGTTAATTAACTAATTGCTAGTCAAAAATGAACGATTTGGGTAATGAAATCGAGCAACTAATTGTGGAAGAAATCGAGGAAATGATAGTTGGTGAAAATCAAAGGTTAGTATTAATTAATTGATTAATTGATTGGTAAGTACCAACACATTAAACATGTTTTGTATGCCTTGGTGTATATTTTATACGTAAAATAGTGGCATTCAATTGTAAAAACTTGAATTTGTTTATTCAAATAATTTTAGTATGTT